TATTGCTTTTAAGACTCAATGACATGATGATCAGCAGACGACCTTCCAAAACTTTATAATCAGTGCTTTCAGATAGCACGTGCTTTGAATATGCTTTGATGATATAAGTTGATGTAGAGCAATCATTTAGAAGTATAAAATATATTTTTACTTAAAATTAATAAGATCCAATATTCAATAATTATATAAAATTTAATTTAAATTCAAATATTTTAAAATTAATTTTTATTTAATATTTATTATAAGTATTCTATGCAAAATATAATTTTAAGTAAAATTTACCCAAAATTAAAGTTCTCCGGTTGTAATATTAATTTTGTATTTATATTTTAAATAATTATATTATGTATTCTCCAAAATGTATTTTACTTAACTAAAATCAAAATTTTTTCCCTCCACATATCATGAATATTTGCTRATAATAAATTAATTTCCTGTTCATGACTAATTTAGGTAAAAATCATACATCTATTTTAAAATGCATGCTAATAACTAACATCTAACATCAATATAATATAAATTTCGAATAATTAATGCAACAGACCACATTAATGTGTGAAACATCAATTAGTATACGTTAAATTTATGGCATTAATTCACGATATTTTTTTTTTAAACGTAGGATCACTGAAAAATTTAGATGATGTACGTAAAATACCAAGTTTTTAGTTTCTCTATTTATAATTTTATTAACCTTTTTTCATTGTTATTGCAATTGAAATGGTTAAGGATAATTTTTATAAATTATATCAAGTGGTAACTAGAGCCCAAATTTATAAGCTCTAAAAACCTTAGGAATATGCATTTATGCTCTTATTTTGTAGGAATATATTYTAAAAAATAAGAAATTTGCAAATAWAATTGATTAAATAAGTCTTCTATTTTCATTATTTTTATATGTTTTCATAAAACTATATTATATTAATATAATTCTTTTTTGACATTTTAAATATAAATTAAATCAAATGAAAATTAGTAAATTACAAATTTGATATGTATTGTATATATCCATATACAATAGTGGGCTCTAGTAATAAGTTATACATTGTATGGATAATTTAAACATAATATAATAATGATTTATCTTTCTAATAATTGTTATTGTTTTATTATCATTAAAAAAAAAAGATTTATAGAAACTTGAAACTTTCTTACACCATAGCATAAATTATCATTCCCTTTCAACAATGATGACATTTAAACAAGATAATTATGAACTATTTATAGACAATTTAAATTATTTAGTTTTTATCAAGCTTAGTCAAAAAGCATAAAAATATAATACATAGCCTCACATAAGTTCCGACAGTAATATAAAAATTTAAAAAATACAAGGAAACAATTTTTGATTTGCTGAAGACATAATACATTTAAAATTCATCTACRAATTACTAATTTAAAATTTGGGTGATTAATGTTTTGTATAATTATCAGTTGAAATGAAGTTAGCTTTTAACTGTCAAACATTTGAATTATCCTTTTAATTAACTGTTTTTTTTTTTATCCACTGTAATTTTGTTTTAAGTGACATTTATAATTACACTTAGGCACACTTAGTTATTTGAAAATAATATTAATTAAGTCAGGTATTTTGTTTTTGAAGGGTGGTAAGATTCGATAAAACAGAATCTGA